AACAGGATGATACTTAAATCCCTTTATGTTAATATTGTGGTTTTATGGGAGCAGGCCTATTAATCCTGCTTTAACTGTATAAGTGCTATTATTCCTTCAATAAGATCACTGACTATGCAGTATAGGATTAAAGACTTATAACTGATGCTGTCATTTTCATGGACCAAGGAACCTTGAATGCTCTCTGTTCTGACTGTTTGTGTATGTGTGTAGTTTATTCCATGGTGATATATGGAATACAATCTTTAATCCACACAGTTTTTTTCCTAGCTGCAGCACAGCATGCTGGGCCAAACGCTAACTTTAGCTCCAGCAATACGAGACGTTGGTGCCAGTTTCAGAAAGATGTTGAAGAAGCTAGAGCAGCACTAAACAGCACCAGCAAGCTGATAAACTCCTCCAAACAGTTTGAGTTTAATCACCTGATTCACAACTGTTCTCGCACACCAAAAAACTTTTCAAAAAGGGAGTTTTGAGTTTATAAAGTGCTTTCATACAGAAATCTGAAAAATCTTCAAATATCAGCATCTGATCTGCTTGTCTTACTTTTCTCTGCACACATAGGGATAGTTTTTCGAAAAATTACAATTCTTTAGACATTTTCATGCCATAGCAAATTAGTATGAGTTTATTTCTGATGTGAAACACAAAAGAAGAAAATATGCAAAAGCACCACAAAAAGTATACCACTCAAAAAATGTTTTATTAAATTATTAATTATTAATTTAATTTCTTATAATACACTAAAGCAACACAATTATGTCTGTTTAATTTAATTATGTGCACTGTAGTTCATATTGTTGGCACTAACTTAAACTGGCCAGGGTAATTCTTGTTTCCAGCTTGCTTTGCATGGGACTGAATGAGGAGAGTAAATATGGAAATTAAGTGTTTATGTGTTTTTGTGCCAAATGATAAAAGGAGTAAATTTGTTTTTAATTTTCAGTTATGTTGGAATTTAGAAGGGAATGTTGGTATTTTGTGATGATAAGTGAAGCTTATGCTTTGGTTGGGGATGGCTGCATAATCAATGCTGTATGTTTACTCTTTAAAAAAGGTTCTTTATTGGCATCTGTGATTCCATAAAGAATATTTAATATCCACTGAACCTCTCCATTGCACTTAAGGTTCTTTGTAGTGGAATACGGTTCTTTAAATTATTAAATTGTTTGTCACACAAAGAATTACATATACAAAATATTTGTGTTTAGTTTACAAAGTAATTTTGTCAAAACCCATGTAGGGAAAAAATAGGGTACATTGTCAAGATTTTTAGGGAACATCAAAGCTTTAGAAAACTTTGAATGTGCACATGATGTATGGACTACTTTTATGGAGTTGTTTCCCCCTCAGTCTTTAAGAATTATCTCTCATGGTCCACTGAAAGAAAGTCACACGAGTTTGAAATGACATGAATGTGAGCAAATAATGACATTATTGTCACTGTCCCTTTAAATGACATTATTGGTGACTTTATTGACCCCTACAGCTGCAGTTATGAACTGAACTCCTTATGATTAAAAAGCAAGTGATGTTACTCAGCAGTGGAAGTGTATGGCGGGTGCTTTCCCAGAGCACTGAATTATGGGTTGCTTAACTCAACTAGGCTGAGAGGTCCTAGATGGAGTCAGATAATAGGTCGTGTCTTCAGCAAAGATCAAGCACTAAACCCTGTAAACCCTGCAAAGCCCTGTAAACTTGCTTCTCTCTGCAACCATTTTTGACCACTGGAGACTCTGTCCCTGTGGGCTGCAAGTCCGACTTTGCCCGCCAGAACAGATTACTTGCAGACAGAGAAATAGGGAAAGTACATCTCTTTCTGTGTGTGTGTAGAGAAGAGGCAGGAACGGTGTTAAAAGACTGGTAGAGGGAAGGAGAGAAGGAAGGAGAAAGAGAAAGAAGGTGGATAGCTTGTGGGCGTTGATACTACCCATGAGGCCATTTAATGGGCAGTTTGGAATGCAGGGAAAAGACTCAGCTGCCCTCTCAATGGAATTCGGTGTCTTTGAAAAAAGAGAGAGAGGGAGCAAGCTTGTGGGAAATCCTTGCCTGACTGCTACTGTGATGTTGAATGTTGGCCTGTTTTATTTCACAGAATGTGGCAAGCACAGACACAGAGACACTCCATTGCTCTAGTGTGACACTGTGAACCTGCACATTTGCCTGGAAGAGGCCAAGCCCAGGAGACTTTGCACACAAAACCCATAAAGAGCTCCCTAAAGCACACGTTTGCACTAACACTGCCTCCCTCACTACCCGAAGACTTAGCGTGACCAGACTTGTTCCATATTTATTGCCTCTGTCTGTGGGTCTGTCTACCTATGAGTGTCTCTGTGTATTTGTGTTTGTCTGTCTGTTTGGACCTGTCTTGTGAATTTTCCTATTACAGTACTAGCTATAAGGTTAGTTTTGATATAACTGTGACAGATATTATCATTGGCTAAGGTCTGTCAATAAGCTCATGAACAAAAAGCTACTCTGGGCCTGGGGATATATATATATATATATATATATATATATATATATATATATACACACACACACACATTACACATCTTCTATACAGAATATACAAAACCCAAGTAAAGAAGAAACCGAAATAACAGATGCTTCCACAAGTAATCTAACATTCTGGGCCTGGGGATATATATATATATATATATATATATATATATATATATATATATACACACACACACACATTACACATCTTCTATACAGAATTTCCAAAACCCAAGTAAAGAAGAAACCGAAATAACAGATGCTTCCACAAGTAATCTAACATGATCATCAGACATAAAACAGCATCAAAACTGTGTAACGTTATAGAATAAAATGTCGACCCATGAAGAGGTAAAAATTATCGACTCCATCTACGTTCTGATTATCATTCTGAATCTAATTCATAGTCTTTTTTCATCTTTTTGTTCAAAATGTTGTTTATTTATTTATTTTATGAAACTTACCCACATTCAAGTGTTTATAAAAAAGAATGCATCAAGCTAGAATAAAATGTTTTGTTTACAAGCAGATACCCTGTTCTTTGTTTTAATGTTTTGTATGTTCAGATATGCAGATAAAAAAATATATACAAATTAATACTTAAATAGGGACATAGTAGTATACTTAAAGTATTATGCAAAGTTCACTTAAAGAAAACTTACGAGTATACTTGCAGTATGAAACTACTAAACTAGTAGTTTACTGAGACTATACTTCTAAGTGTACTGAAAATGCTACAAGTATTTAATAGTCTTTTTTCATCTTTTTGTTCAAAATGTTGTTTATTTATTTATTTTATGAAACTTACCCACATTCAAGTGTTTATAAAAAAGAATGCATCAAGCTAGAATAAAATGTTTTGTTTACAAGCAGATACCCTGTTCTTTGTTTTAATGTTTTGTATGTTCAGATATGCAGATAAAAAAATATATACAAATTAATACTTAAATAGGGACATAGTAGTATACTTAAAGTATTATGCAAAGTTCACTTAAAGAAAACTTACGAGTATACTTGCAGTATGAAACTACTAAACTAGTAGTTTACTGAGACTATACTTCTAAGTGTACTGAAAATGCTACAAGTATTTAATTAGTAAACTATCAGTATACCTATAAGTTCACTTTTAATATAATTGCAGTACATACTAAAACATAGATGTGAACTAGTTGTGTACTCAAAGTTTACTACTGTTATACTTAAAGTATATTTAAAAGTATAATTTTATATACTAGAAAGTGGGCCAATTTAGTCCCAAGGAGAATTTAAATAGTACACTTACAAGTATACTACTAGTACTCTGATATTTGTATACTTACTACATAAAGTGTACTTAAAAATATACTTGAACTTTACTTAAGTATACTTGATAAAATAAACTTGAAGTATACTTCTTGGTAAGAGTATACTTAAATATGACATTTATTATAATGGATTTATGTGAAGATTGTTTTAAGTTCACTTAAATTAGACGTTGAACTTTTTTAAAGTCTAATGTTAAAATTGATAGCTCTCAATTGTACTGTATGGCTATAGTCGATGGCTAAATATTAGGGAAAAAATAAAAAATTTCTAGGGACATCAGTAGTATTGGTATCAGTGATACTCGCCTTCAGTTATAAAAAAAGATCCCATTAAACAAATATTAAAAATATACTGTCTTTGTGTTGTTTCTACATTAATTTGAAGATTGAATGTGAAATTATAGTATACTACTAGTACTCTGATATTTGTATACTTACTACATAAAGTGTACTTAAAAATATACTTGAACTTTACTTAAGTATACTTGATAAAATAAACTTGAAGTATACTTCTTGGTAAGAGTATACTTAAATATGACATTTATTATAATGGATTTATGTGAAGATTGTTTTAAGTTCACTTAAATTAGACGTTGAACTTTTTTAAAGTCTAATGTTAAAATTGATAGCTCTCAATTGTACTGTATGGCTATAGTCGATGGCTAAATATTAGGGAAAAAATAAAAAATTTCTAGGGACATCAGTAGTATTGGTATCAGTGATACTCGCCTTCAGTTATAAAAAAAGATCCCATTAAACAAATATTAAAAATATACTGTCTTTGTGTTGTTTCTACATTAATTTGAAGATTGAATGTGAAATTATTGCAATATAAAAAAGTATATTTAAAAACTTCAATGATAGGTGGGATTAATCGCGATTAATTTCAGATGTGATTAATGACAGCACTAATATACTGTATATATATATATATATATATATATATATTTTATTTCAATTAACAACAATTCTTAATAGTGATAATACATGATATTTGTATGTAAAGTATCTTCTTTTGTGTTTAACATAAAAAAGAAACTCATTATATATATATATATATATATATATATATATATATATATATATATATATATATATATATATATATATATATAGTACTCTCTCTACACATCAGTAAAATAAAAGTAATAAAAATGAACTAATATTCTTTCTTTTTATTTCTCTCTCATTTAGAGGATGACAGTTCAGGTTCCCCATATCATCGTGAGAGGCGTAATGCCATCAGTGGGCAGGCTGCGGTTCTGGCCATATCAGGAAAAATTAGTGAGGAGCCATCCACCTCTACAGAAGACCGCCCCCCATTAGTGAAGAAAGAGCTTCACAGCTCTCTGCCCCACCTGGCAGACCACACTCTGCCCTATCGGGGGACACTGTTCGCCATGGACCCTCGCAATGGATACCTGGACCCTCACTATAGTGAGTTACTACTTTGTCATGTTCTTTGGCCATATTGGGACAAACACCCACTCACTAATTTTTTGGTTCCAATTTATCTATACATTCTTGTCTTTTTATCCTATAAATATGTTAGGCCCTTCCTTAAATCCTAGAGGGAAAGTCCACTCAAAAAAATGAGAAATACAAAAAGACATGTTTAGGATAATGTCCTAATGTCCTGTATGTGTGTGCGTGCATTTTGTGACAAATGAGGACATCAATTTGTATAATGACAAAGGTATGACATATGTATTACAAGGAGAAGGTGACTTTTCAGGACATTACAGGACCCACTTTTCAAAACGCTTATACATCACACAGAATGGAGTGTATTGAAAATCTGAAATAGCACAAAGTTTCCTGTAAGGGGTAGGTTTAGGGGTAGGGTTGGTGTAGGGCAATAGAATATACGGTCTGTACAGTATAAAAACCATTACGCCTATGGGATGTCACCACTTTTCACAAAAACAAACCTGTGTGTGTGTGTAACAAATAATAGACAGTGACAAGAAATTTGCATACAGGAAATGTGTATGAGGAACAAACTGAAATTTGATTTGTTACTCACTGAAAGTCTTCTGCCATTTGCCTTACATTTTTGGATAAACCTATCCATATAAAAGTTATGTTGGTTCAGTAATGTGTTTTGCCTAAGACAGTTACCATTAACACCACGTCCTGATAGACGGTAGATATTGTTGGTGCATAAAACTCAAGGACAAATGTTTAGTGCAGAGCTAGCATGCTAAATTTTTGAGGCGAAAGGCAAGGCTGCTAACGGATTGATTGGGCCTGACAGTTGACTAGTTGCCCTTTCTTTCTCATTCACTCTTGCTTGCCTTTTAATTTTTTTTCAGCGGTGAAGTTAGTATGGGGGACGTTCTTCTCTGCTCCCTAATTCCCTCATTAGGGGCAGAGTGTAAGCACACAACTCCAGTCTCACTCATCAGCGGCATGATCAAAGCGCCACAAAGAGGAAAGCAGTCAAACTCCCTCTGCCTTGTTCTTTTCCATATTCTCTCTTTCTCTTGTCTTGCCCACCATACTCCCCCATCATTTTTTCTAATAATCATGAGAGACTCTTAGCAAGAGAGTGAGAACATGTGAATGGACAGGACAGAGTAAAGGAGAGAAATAAAGGGAGAGAGAGACAGATGAGGCTAGTCAAAGCCTTTTAAGAGGTTAATTGTGTGGACCACCATTGCCTGACCATCACCTATGGATGAGGATTCAATGTGATGGCTTGTTTAGTTTCGATAAATTGGCCTTGAATTGTGTTTGATGGCATAGTTTTAATCTATAGTACTTAATGAAATGCCCTTACCTTCATTCTCTCTCACAAAACCATTTTCTGTATCACTGTTTAGACCTTTTCATTAGCAGCAATGTGCATTGTTGGTCTAGTTTTGGTCTGTCCATCTTAATGCACAAAGGTAGACTACAAACTAACCCATCTGACCCCTAACATATTGACTAACAAAAGCGTGACCACCTCAGCAAATCTGCCACTTTCATTGTACAAGTGAAGGGGGGGGGGCAAGTTGAAAAAAAGGACAAGTTGAAAATTCTGTCTTTAAGCACTCATCTAACTGATTTATAGAACAAATAAAAGGGGGCAAAAATTAAGGAAGACCAAGAAAAATAGTGACATGAAGGGAAAATAGAGAGTTATAATGTGGGGGAGTGACAGACTGAAGGAGCAATGCAAGAAAGAACAAAAGTGAAAGAGGGGTGTTCCGGGTGGCTGGAGTCTGTAAGGGGGAGGCTGGGGCGGAGGGTGGGGGGTGAAAGGGTGGTGGGGGTCAGAGGTCAGGTGGAGAAGGCAGACATTGAAACAGAGGGGTTCAAAAACGGCATGAGAAGTCAAAGGGGCCTCTTAGTTGGTCCATTCTCTCTGCATGGGGGATCACCAGGGTAGCAGTGAACTGTGGAGTGGAAAAAGTTGATGATTGAATGAATTCTGGAAGGAGTGGGAGGCCCTCTCCCCATCTCACTGACCAGGAAGAAATTCTTTCTTGAGCGATATTTCACAGACATGCCTCTGGCAATTAATTCGATTTTTATTAAATGAAAAATGTGTTGTAGTAGCACATGACTGCTAAAACTGGTTTATAGAACAGGTGAACTTGTTTTAAAGTTCTTTTAAACTACCTAATGCTTCATAATTTGCGAATGCCATTGCTTCCCCCCTCACAATAACAGAATAAGAGATATCGTGAAATATTTTAACTTTCTTGTAGACCCCTGTTTTAATGACTTTTTTTTTTTTGGGGTGTGACATTTGAAACCCATTTTGTCTAGACTGAGAAAAATGTTTGATATAGTCCTATGAGTGAATAAAGGGCTCAGTGTACTTTGTGGATCATAGATGTGCTGTACACTCCTCACCAGAGGGGATTATGAGAGGCCAGGACCCTTTAACTAACCCTCCCGAGCCCCATCACCCCTCAGCTCTTTAAAACCCACGCTGGCGCCATTCACTCAATTCTACAGGCTTTGAGGTGTGAAAAACCTTGACCCCCGTACACATACACACACTCACGTGCGACCGAGCTTCCCTGCCTTTCGTTTTCCCTTTGGAGATCCATCAGCTCATAAATGTGTCCCAGGTGTGCGATAGTGTAAGTGTGATCCCACCTTTGTGTGTGTGAGTATGTGATGGAGAGAGAGTCAAGCTCTTTGTGCTGTGTATGCACTAGTACTAGAGGCAGGTAAAGCATGATTACTCTTCCTATGGCGCGTGTCAAGGCCTAATGCGCCTAAATGAGCCTCCACCTGCAGCCTCTGCACACCTGGTCACCACGGCAACACACAGTGGGGCACCCTGGGAGTGGGTGTCAGGAGCAAAGCGCCAAATGACAAGTGCCAGAGGAGGGGGAAGGTACAGATATCGTAGATACAGCAAGAACCTCTGAGAAAGTCCCACAAATCTCCTCTCTACTGCTTTGACGAGTCAAGGCGCTAATACTAAATTTACACAAACTCCTCGCACCCACTGCATAAGTGCATAAAGTCCTGGCATGTTTAGCATAAAGAGTGCACAGGATAAATAGCCCTCTTTGTGAGCATTAGATGAAGCATTAGCATTAGCCGTCATTCCTGAGCCTTATCCTCTTTTCTCACACAAACACTGGATAAGAGTCTCATGGTCCAGCTTAGCACCATGCTAATACACAATACGGATAAGACGGCGGGATTGAAAGATGGATTAATGAAGGGAAGAGCACTAAATGTGTGGAAGACATCTGTTTATATTGTCTGCTGATTAGCAGGTCATTGGGCCGCAGTAACAGAGAGGCACTTGCTGGCATTGCACTTCTTATCTCTCTTGAGGAAGTGGAAGATCCTTTCTTTTTTTTTCTCTTCATCGTCTTTCCTAATTGTTTGTATTTTCTTAAACAGATGTGCTCTTTGCCAGTAAGAGCCATGTCCCATTATGGGAATTAAAGCATGCTGAATTGAATGTTTTCCTTTTATATTAACTTTTAAAATGGAATGCAAATGTTTTGAATAAGGCGAGCAGGGAGGGACAAAATCTTGCTGTTCTGCAATGTTTTAAAATCTTGGACATACACATGATTGTTCCACCAGCTAAGCCATTTCCTTTGCTTAGCAAACTCAACTGAACAATAGGTTTATTTATGTTCCTCAGTGCAGTCTTGGCTGTCCTTACAGTCTTAAAACATTTGTGCCTTTTTCACAAACACTTTCCTAAAGGTCTCGAGAGTTTAGCTCTTTGAAGCCCTCTTGTCCTTGACATTCAAGCCTACAAGTGTCATTACTGCAAAGAGGGTGCTCTCCTAAGCCTGCTTAGTGCCGGTCTACAACTTCTCTGTGTGAAATACTGTCCCCACTCAAAAGCAAACTGGCTCGCACCTTTAGCTTGATCAGCGGTGTGGGGCTACAGTTTCAGTCCTCTGTGTTCCTTGTTGGATAAAGATCTACCAAGTTTCCTGAAGCCTGTAATCCTTTACCAAAGTCTCATTGATTCCTCACACCAGAGTCCAGACAAACCCACATGAGGAGGGACTGATGATATCCCACCAAACAGACACATCCAAACTTCTGTCACTGCTTGCATCCTGTCTGGTCAGCTCCACATTGGTGCACACCATATTAGAGAATATTCCCACTTCATTGCCCTTGGTGGAGCATAACAAGCCACTGCTGGCTGAACAAAGAACTTGTCAAGGGCTTTCTGTTCTGAGATGATGAATAAGGTTGAGTTTGACACTGATATATTGGATGGATAGTGCTGGGTGTAACACCCTGCTTTCCTCCAAAGTCAAACCTTCTCTGACAGTTGAACTGTAAATGCCTGCTGTCAGACATGAACATGACCAGAACAAACTGTGTATTCTGGATAACCATATGAAATTAACATATGGAGTTTGGTTGCTTAACCAGGAATTTATACTCCTAAGTTTGTGGAAAGTCGGGGAACTTTCAATGCCTTTAATGTAGCATGACTATCGTTTTTTAAAAGATTACTTGCTCTGTAATCATAAAAACACAATGATGCCTCAAATTGAAGATACAAGCCTAAGAGAGGCTCCCACTGACCACTTCAAGGGCAAGGGTGGTCTGCATGATTGTTTCCATTTTGGATTTGTGAAAGAGGGGCCCTGCTGTGGCCCAACCAGAGCTCACAGTGGTCAAGATGCCTGGAGCAGTCTTTGGGCACTAGTAAGAAATCTCTTCTACTCATTCATCCTGATCCTTTCATTCTGAGGGGGAATCTTCCACTGTTTTTAGCCCTCTTGGTCTAGTACACCACAGATAACCGTTGAGCTTATTAAAGGAGTCTTGCCATGTATGGCTGTACCATTACATTCCTATGCTTCTCAATGCCTTTAATGTAGCATGACTATCGTTTTTTAAAAGATTACTTGTTCTGTAATCATAAAAACACAATGATGCCTCAAATTGAAGATACAAGCCTAAGAGAGGCTCCCACTGACCACTTCAAGGGCAAGGGTGGTCTGCATGATTGTTTCCATTTTGGATTTGTGAAAGAGGGGCCCTGCTGTGGCCCAACCAGAGCTCACAGTGGTCAAGATGCCTGGAGCAGTCTTTGGGCACTAGTAAGAAATCTCTTCTACTCATTCATCCT